TATGAATAACAAAACAAGTGGGTAGAAATCATGTTTGGGTAAGGATTTACAATAGCATGTATGGGTAGTCAACTTGTGAGGGTAGATTTTATTCAATGATTATGGTATTTACCATCTTGTTGTTTATCTTATATGTATTAACCCATTTTTGTTATGTGTCTATTTTATTTTGATTTTATTGCATTTGCATCTTCATGTCATCCAAGGGTGTTAATTCGCAAGTGATTGACTAAATAAGAAGGTTGTTCATAATGAGACAAGAATTCTTAGCCATGTAGTCAAAATTAGGAGATCCAAAGATGTTCTAATGATCTATGAAGAAAGACATACGATGAATAAAGAAATTTGAAGCTAATTGAAGACTTCCTTTAAAGGTGCAAAGGCCAAGATGTTTCCTCAAGAGATAGATTCAATCATGAAAACCAATTCACATTGGAAATAAAAATGGAGATCTCAAGATTCAACCATAAATAATTTAAGGATCTCAAGCGTAATCAAATGTGAAAAAGTATACCAAAAACTTTGGGTGCAATGTTAGATTTCATGAAGAGTACGACTCAAGGAAACGAAGAAATGAAGAATCACAATTTTATTTTGACTACCTGGTGTAATAAAATCTTGTTGTCTAAATGAAGGTTATTCTAAGAGGGTCACTTATGAAATTAACACCTTTTGCATTTGCATTTGCATTTGGCATTTGCATTCACACTGCTTAAATTTAAGCATTTTTACATACATCAATCATGAGAACATGAGAGTAACTCGTAAAAGATATTGTGGCAGAGTTTCTGAAAGCCAATTGAAATTCCTGGGGTGTGTTTCTAGAGAGGTAGAAAGAAATGAATGAGATATTACCGCGTGTTGGTAGGATCGAGAGAATTTAGGAGCAACTCGTAAAGACCCAACAAGAGATGATCGATCAAGCAAAAAGGTTCCAGAATGAATCAAGAGAACAAATGACCAAATTAATGGAGATGGTGAACGTTGTGGTCCATGGAAAAAAGCCACAAAGGATCCCATTGTAAAGGATTTGAATGGGATTCTGAATGTCAGTGGTGGAACCAAAATAACAGTTACAGGAGATCAAGGACCTATTAAGGACAAGATATCTCAAGTCAATTCCAAAAATTAGATGCGGTCGTAGAGGGTCTCACTATATCAACAATGAATGAAGAAGTAATGAGAGATAAAGATTTGCTTGTGATAGATAAACTTTACTTTAACTTGGATACAAAACAGTCATGTTTATCACCCAAGATTAGTAGTAGAAAAAAATACAACAACAAATAAAATGTTGGTAACAAACTTTTCTTGAACGCATGAATTATTTCGTGTCACAAAAATACCACAACCTCTTCAAGTGATTGAATATAACTCTTTCAGAGTTAATCTATAAGAAATGTGGTATGATTATGGGTTTTTCCAATCTCTAAAGTATCCATGCTCCCATGTCATAACAGCTTGCTCACATTCCCATCAAGACTATAAACGTTATGTGGATCTCGTATACTAACTTTCAGAAGTATTCAAGGTATATATAGACATTTCAATGTCTACTGTAGCGTCTACTGAGAGAAGTAGTGGGGTCTAGTGAGAGAATTTCCTCTCCCTTCTCTCTTGAGGTCTTCTTTGTTGGTGGTTATCCTTGCGGTTTTCTCCTGGTTTCTTCCTTGATTATCCATGGAATCAAGGTCGTTGAGGTCCCTAGGCGGACCTCAAATCGGTTGTGTTTAAACGGTTATGTCAAGTTCTTAGGATTGAGTCGAAAGTTTGTCGTCCAATGTCATCTTGTTTCTTCATCCTTGGTGGAAAAAGTTGAAGGCAAGAGTCATTTTGCTTACCATTGTTGTTACTTAACCGATTTATGTATTATGCAGGATCTTCTTAAAGGGCGACGATGCCGAAAATGGATTGAGACAGGTGATGTAGCTAATGCGAATAATCGTCAGAGTCCTTATGATGATAGTTACTAAAAGGGATGGAAGGAGAATAGTAAGAAGAAAATAGAAGGAGACTAAGGGATGTATATTCAGGAAGTTTTGGTCGCTGGTCGAGGGGTAAGACGGAGTTTGGGACCGAAAAATACAGGAATATTCGATAGAGGAAAGGATGAAGACAATTGGAGCACATCTTCCGAGGAAAGATTGATTGTATCGGGACGATACACAAATAGGAAAATACAAAAAGATATTGGTGTACGGATTGTAAATAAGTTTCCTTTATGGTACAATAAGTTAGGGCTGACCAAGCTACATAGAAGATCGAGTAAAGATTATTTCGGGAAGAAATATTCAGTTCGAAAAGTCCAAAACAGAGGAAGATTTAGGAGGATATTCTTTGGGACAAGACATGACAGAACTTTAGGATGGATGTTGTGCTATTTTTGTGTATTTTATTTGAAGTTTCCAAAGCTGCTATGGGATGGTAGGCCTACAAACCGAGGATGCAATGTTAAAAGAAGTAGCACGATCCTCGAGGAAAGATTTTCTCAATATCACACGATATACGGTGATAGGATTTAGGAGGTTCATTGTATGGAAAAGTACACTCAAACGATTACTCGGAGGGCTGATGGAGATACAACTCAAGGTGGGAGAAAACTGGGCATATCGCATCGATGAAAAAGGGGAGTATTTGAGGTTGGTACGCAACAATGTAGCACGACTGCTCACAGTTCAGTTCTGACAGTGGACAAGTCCATCTAGGACGGGGGCAGTAGGGGTGTTAGGAAGTCTCGTCCTCCACAACAGGTTCTCCAAGACAGCAGCAGGAGTACGGTACGAGGAGATGGCAAGCTACAATACTATAATCGGGTCATATGTATTTTTCACAAAAAAATAATTATTGGTACAATAAAGCCTATTAACTGCTGGATAAAAGAGCTAAGTTTGGTTGGTAAGAAACATGGGAACCTGGAAAAGTCAAAGGCTGAAAGACATTGTCATTTCGGTTGGAAACCGAGCTAGGAGGAAATAAGGTGCCTAAGGGTTGGAGCAATTCTTCGATTGACTCTCACGAACAAAGAGAAGCATTTTGCAATTTCCTTGAATATTTTCTTTTGTGTCCTGTTACTCGTGAGATTGGACAAGTTATTCATTATTTACGAAAGTTGTATCTTTTTGGTTGGAAGCCCGATACTGTCAGAACTGGAAAGAACCGGTTATTTTGGATGGGAATCGAAGCATAACAAGGTAAAAAGTCTAAGGAAAATTGGTATCTTTTTTCACTTTTATCGCACAAAAAGAAGTCTATTGCCCTAGCTTTTGGTATTTGCTTTCACCAATTCATGTTCGAAAGATTGCTTCAGTTGTTTGCTATTTGTCAAAGCTCCTCAACCATTCTATACGAGTTAATCATGTCGGAAGAAGTCGCGTATTTGATGCAACAACTCAATTTTACCGAGAAAGAATCGAAAGACATCTCCCCGCCTAGAGTCATTAGCTAGGATGATCTAATGGAGATGGACAAATGGGTGGTCGCAAAGATCATTGGGTACAAGAAGGTCGACAGTGAGGTTATCTTAAGAGTTTTTTGTTCCATATGGGGCAATGGCTGGCTGACAGATTTGAGTATATAGAGAATATGTTTCTCTTTAAGTTCAAGACCTTAAGTGACCAGCAAGCTATAATACGTCGAACCCCTTGGAGTTTTAAATGGACTCATCTTGCATTGGCGCATTATGATCCTACTTTGAGCTTAGAGGAATTCGATTTTACGCCATTGGCTGTGTAGGTGAGGATATATGAGCTCCCGTTGGGGCTTATACGAAAACAAACGGTAGAAAAAATTAGGAACAAGATTGCAAGACCATTGCGATTGACATGCGATCAGGGGAGGGTCGTATGGGGGACTTCTTATGTGTCCGAGTGGAGATTGATTGCATGAAGCCGCTACGCCACTACGCGAAAATGGGGAAGCTTGCCAACAACCAGCCTAGGAGATGCATTTTGAAATGCGAACGACTCCTATCATTTTTCCACAAATGTGGTATTATTGGGCATGTTCTAACCGAATGCTCTGGTTTCTTTGAACAACTCCAACAACCGCTTCAGTTTGGAGAATGACTGAGGGTGACAGTGAACAAACCGGTCTGAGAGACTAGTCGTGCTAGAAGGGAGGGCGTGGTATACTTTGATAGCGAGTCCCAGGAGAGATCGGTTGCCAGCTCGGGTAATAGCCCACTTTCAGACCGTCTTACAAGAACCCCTCGTGGTCGGCCATGAGTTCTGGGGAGGGACCTTCTACACGCGACAAGCACAAACCAAGAAGATGACACCGACCACACTGACCCCTCTGAACCGGATAGTTTGTCCCTACACATTTACTTGGTCTGTGACTCTTCGAGAGATGAAGATCAGCCGCTAAACCCGATCACTAGTGCCTAGGTGGGATCCTCGAGCTCAGGTAAAAGAAAAGGTGGTGAATCCAACAAAGGGAATAAGAAGCTTAAGAAGATAGTACGACATGATATGAATACCACAATGTCCACCATAAATTCAAGATCCGGAACAAGCGAAGAAGAAGACCCTAGTGAGGCACCAAGAGAGCAACCGTGCGATGTTTATCTGACGGCGGTAGCTGAGGCTCAACCCCGGTAGTCCCCGTGAGGGTGTTGTGCTAGAACTGTCGAGGGCTTGGGAACCCATCGACAGTTCGAGAGCTAAAGAGGATTATCTCTGAGAAAGGACCCATTGTTAGCTTTTGTTTTGGAAACCAAGCTTAGGAAGAATATAGTCGAGTCCATATGACTTGTCACTCGGATATTCGGTTATTTTATGGTTGACAGATCGGATGATTGTGTATGACTGCTTTTGCTTTGGAAGGAGAGACTCATTGTTACGTTGAAGAGCTATTATAGTCTCCACATTAATGTGGTGGTTGGATGGAAGGAGCACTTGTTTCGATTCACAGGATTCTATGGTAGAAGCGCATGGGCTAATAAGAGACGCAACTAGGAGACTATTTCACACATGTCCTCCACTTTTTCACTCCCATGGTGTATGGGAGGGGACTTCAACGAGATTATTCATCCGTCGGAGAAGAAGGAAGGTCAAAGACGGGCAAGAGTACATATGAAAGATTTCCAAAGGTGTCTTCAAGATGCAGACTTGTGGGATATTCGGTCCAAGGATGGTTGGTTCACTTGGGTGAGTGGAACTCGAGCTCATACCTTTGTGCAAGAACGCATTGACAGGGTGGTGGCCAATAATGATTGGCATCTTATGTTTCCCGGATGCTCAGTCTCGACGATCCCGACCGCTTCTTCAGACCACTATGCTCTTCTCCTTAGCTTGGAGAGCCTTGCTTCTAGTCGTCCTCACAGAGTATATTATTTCAAATTTGACGTATGTTGGGCAAGTGAAGAACAATGTCGAAACATTGTTTGAGCGATTTGGGAGAACAAAGAAGAGTCATTTTCGAGCAAAATCAAGAAAGTGGGTGACAATCTTGGGAGGTGGTAAAGGTTACGAAGGGGGCAGGCAAAGAGGGATGAGAGGCGTCTCCGAGACTGAATTCTTCACTTGGATTCAGCCATGGTCTCGGACTTTGTTTGTGAGCAACGGAGCAAGGCTATAGCAGAACTTAAGGAGCTCATCGACAAGGATGAAACTTATTGGCATCAGAGATCTCGGGTTGCTTGGTTGAAAGATGGAGAGAGGAACTCAACATTCTTCCACGCAAGAGCGAATGGAAGGCGAAAGAAGAATTGGATAGAGGGTTTAGAGAGAGAGAGGGATTCTTGGTGTGATCAGTTGGAAGACATTTTTGATGTCGCTGCTAGCTACTTCACCTCTCTCTTCCAGTCTTCAGGTGCTGCACCCGATGAGGAGATTCTACAGGCCATTGATCGTTGCGTGATGCTAATGGACAACGAGATGCTCAGCCGCAACTTCACCACAAAGGAAGTCACTCAAGCCTTTTCATAAATCAACCCTTCTAAAGCTCCAAGTTATGATGGTTTTTCCGGTCACTTCTTTCATTGTTTTTGGGATGTTGTTGGTAAAGATTTGTTGAAATTTGTTTGAATTTGTTGAATGGTCACTCAAACTTTGATGTAGTTAACCGAACTATTATCGTTCTTGTTCCCAAGATAATCAGTCCAATTTCAATGAAAAACTTTAGAACGATAAGCCTTTACTCTGTCATCTATAAGGTCATGTCAAAAACCATTGTTAATCGTTTAAAACCTTTGATGCATGCTTACATTGCTGAAAATCAATGTGCATTTGTCCCGAGTAGACGCATTTCGGATAACTTCCTAGTCTCCCATGAGCTTATTCATTACCTTAAAGGGTCTAAAAATGGTCCTAATAAAGGGGTGACTATTAAACTTGATATGGAAAAAGCCTACGATAGGATTGAATGGGATTATGTTCTTCATGTCATTCTTTGTATGGGTTTTAATGAATCTTTTGTTAACATTATTTGAAAGTGTATTAGCATTGTTTCCTTTCAAGTTACAATTAACGATGCGTTGTCAGATTCCTTCACCCCGGAAAGGGGACTCCAGCAAGGTGACCCCTTGCCCTCATATCTATTTTTTTTATTTTACGCACAAGGTTTTTCTACATTGCTTCTTGCTACACAAAGGAGGAATGAGATCAAAGGCATTCGGGCTAGCCTTCGTGGACCGAGAATCTCTCACCTCCTCTACGCCGATGATAGCATAATATTCGTGAAGAATTCTGTCGAGGAGCTGAGAAGAATAAAAAGCATCCTAGCAGAATATGAGAAGGCCTCTGGTCAGAAGGTCAATTTCAAAAAGTCTAGCATCTATTTTAGTCCCAATACTTCGCTCACAGATAGATCGATATTCCTCAACGAGCTGGGAGTGGTGGAATCACTTGATCAAGGGAATTACCTCGGGTGCCGCTTGTTGTGAGTAAAGGTAAAAGAGCGTCTTTCAATTTTATTAAAGACAAGACGGCGAGGAGAATCCAAGGTTGGACCAAGAGACTTCTTTCCTTTGGAGGTAGAGAAGTTTTCATCAAGACGGTGGTGCAAGTGCTTCCAGCATATGCTATGTCTTGCTATCTGTTACCGGAAAGGGTTATTGAGGATATTAAATCTCAAGCGAGGGCGTATTGATGGTCGGGAAAGCATGATGCTAGAGGTTGGGCCATGATTGCTTGGGATAAGGTCTGTCGGTCCAAACGGTTTGGAGGGATGGGCTTCCGGGATCTCAAACTGTTCAATATTGCTCTCCTAGGCAATCAGGCATGGAGACTCATCCACGATGAAGAGTCTTTGGCTTTTAAGGTACTTAAAGCTAAATATTTCCCATGCTTAACTTTTCTTGATGCAAAACTTAGGGATAGGTACTCGTACGTGTGGGCAAGTATTATTAAGGCTAAGGATGCGCTTAGGGAAGGTTTTTTCTAGAGGGTGGGGATGAATAACACATCTCGATTGTTTTTTTATAATCGGGGGACTCTGGACCAATCCGATGGAAGGAGAGGTACATGGATTGTGCAATTCAACCTGTTAAGGTGGCGGATTTTATGCTCCCAAGTTGTCCTAGATGGGATGAGCTTAAAGTTAGAAGGGTTTTGTCTAGTGAAGATGCATCACAGGTGCTGAAGACTTTGATTGCACCTATTCATGGTGATAAAATTTTGTGGTGCCATCATAGTTCAGGTTCCTACTCCGCTAAGTCGGGATACAATTGGTTGAAGATCCAGAACAGTCCGATCTTGATCGCGGAATGTATCTAGAATGTTGTGGCTAAGACAAATGTTCTCCCAAAGATTAGAATCTTTGGCTGGAGACTCTATCATGAAGCTCTTCCTATGGGAGCAAAGCTTAAAAAGGCAAATCTTGGGGATGGTATTTATCATCTCTGTAATGTGGATCTTGATACGGGTCTGCACGCGATGAAAGACTGTCCCTAGTCAAAGCCGATTTTTCTGTTATCGGTCTTCCCTCGTGAGATTGTGGATTGGGAATAGAATTTCTGCCTCGATTGGATGAGTTATGTTCAGTACAAGTTGAACCGAGAAGGGTTTGAGTTGTTCCTCACACTTTTATGGAATATTTGGAATCGTAAGAACAAATGGATTCATGATGTAGAGATTCAGGCGGACAGAGACATAATTTTTAAAGCTTAGAACCTTATCGGAGAGTTTAAATACGTCTCCAAACCGTTCGGTTGTCCTAGTAGACAAACACCTCCCCGCAGACTTCGTAAGTGAAGTAAGCCGGAGCAGGGCATGATAAAGATTAATGTGGACGGTGCGTATAGTAAGGAGTCTAATATGGCCGCGATAGGCATTGTGGCCTGTGATTCGTACGGCATGGTCCTTGGGGGAATGACTAAGAATATTGATCCGCCCTTTACGGCCGAATTCACCGAAGCTGCTGTGTTTACCCATGGTATTCAATTAAAAACTGAGAATGGGTGGACTAATATGGCTATTAAATGTGACGCCATCTCGGTTGTGTATAGGTTGTCCAATCAGTCTACGAACAAGACCCATGACATTTCTACAGTTGGATTGTTGCTCAATGAGGCTCGATCTCTTCTTGTTGACTCTCCATCTTTCAAAGTGCACTATGTCTGTAGGGAAGCGAATAGAGTAGCTCACACTCTAGCTCAATGGGCCTTATCGAACCACAATCCAGTTTGGTTTTTCCTGGATGAACTTGATTGTATTAAACAACTTGTAATTGATGATGCTATTGGAATATAAGATTTATTTCCTTAAAAAAAAAGAAGTATTCAAGGTATATAAATTTGAGTTCCCACGTGGGTAATGAGAAAGAACCAAATGAGTTTCAGACTTGGCTTAGAATTATATCAAATATGTTCTTATTAAGGAAGGAAGGTCATCCAAAATCCAATCGAATTCATTGTGATATGGATAGTCAAGAGACATCAAAAGAAAACAAAAGATGTGGGCATTGTAGAAACCTAGGCCACAATGGGAAAAAATGTCCATCTCTTTTATCATCATTTAACCGTTGAGCATCACTAATGTAATTGTAGTTTATGAAATCTCGGTTTATATATATTTTCCTTTTACTTTCAATTAATGTGGTTTGAGCTTATTTATTTTAAAAGATGTCATTTTCTTTTATATATATATATATATATACATACATTTTTTTTTGCAATTTAATGATTAAGATTCATTATTTTTGGTTTAAGGTTTATTTCTCACAATCAAGATTTTATTTTTTATATAACCTCTAAACCATTAAAAAACCCTAATAAAATTTTAAAAACCTAAACCATTAAAAAACCCTAAACCACTTAAAAGCCCCTAAATCACTAAAAAAACCCAAACCATTCAAAAAATATAAACCTCTTCAAAAACCTTAAACTATTTTAACATAAAAATACCCTAACCCAAAACCACTTCAACTCAAAAAAACCTTAAACCAGAAACCTTAAACTATATCTGGATTAAAAGGCATGTGCCCTGAAACGCGCCTCCAAAGACGAGTCCATTGTATCCATCGTGGGACCAACTCAGTGAGAACCCCAAAAAGGCACACCCCGTACAACGTACATTCCCTCCATGTGTGCAAAACACGTTTCAAGAAACACACCTTCTTATTTCTCTGTTTGAAAGGGTGTTAGATAAGTAAAAATTAGTGAATGGGTGCTTGATCGGTATTATTATGAGTAAAGGGTGATTTTTTTAATAAAACAAAAAATACTATCCTTGTAACAAACGTGTATTTTCTTTATGCTTTAGTAGAATCCGTTGGTCTTATTAAAAAAAATTAAAAATATCCAAAATTATAATAAATGTTTATAATTATCATTATAAACTAAATATATAATTTGAATATTTTCTTATACCATTAAAACTAACAATTTTAAATCATATAAGGACTATACATGGAAAATGTTAAAACTCATTAAAAGATTTGAACAAAAAATTGATACGAATAAATTTGATTGTATCGACAAAAAAATCAAAAAAGTAGATTAAGCTATTGAAAGACAATCGAGAACTGTAAATCAGAATCGAGAGTCGTGAGAAACTATTCATGAACACAAAATCGCATATCTAAATTCAATTTGATAGTCCATAGCAAGGAAAATTAACAAGATTACAAATAAACGTCATCTTGATTAATCGTAGCATCTCCAAATTGAACTCTAAGAAAATATAAAATGAAAAGAACAATCAAACGGTCGAAAAAGAAGACAAAAAAATGTGTTATAAAGACATAATCATGCTTATTAAAAAAACTAAAGAAAAACAATGTTCAACAATTATCATCAAAATCGATATCACCGTTAGTTAAACAAAATTAAAGAATAAAAAATTAATTTGTTCTATAAAAATAACATAAATCCTAAAGAAAAAAAGAGAGAGAACGACTAAACTTTTTTAACAGAAGTGTATTTCTGAAATAGTAATTTTTTTATTAA